TACCCTTCATTTAAAAATAATATGGACTAATTATGGCTATAAGTTAGATATTAGCAAGAAAGGACAAAACTATAGTCCAAGTAGATGACAATTAGTTGAAAATAATTTAGAATAAATCCTGAAAAAATGTATTACACTTTTTCCCAAACAGAAGACTTTAACACTGCAAGGGAAAAGGGAAAACGGAATAGCTAAGAATATACAGAAAACTACACTCTGAAAAAATATTGAACTGTATAAATGCAATACTGAACCTAGTTTTTAAGAACATATCTCATATATGTTCAGCTTATCTCAATAGATATTTGTTGTGGAATGTGCTATGCTTTCGGTGTAAGATGTTAGTAATACAAGTACTTCTTAAGAGAGATTCTGAAGCACGGAGCAATATGTAGCCTGGCAAAAGAGCACCCTCCTCTGGAAAACCAAAGGCAACTGCACCGTCATTCAGCAGCAGGAAACAAATTAAGCTTCACAAACTTTCTTGACGAAAAACCATGATCAGCAAGCAAACAACCATAAAGGGCTAAAAACTTTGTTACTGTACCTCAAAAGGCATCATCAAGATTTGGTAAAATTGACTGAATTAAAAGTTGAGACACAAAAGGAGATTTTCTTTTCTTTAGCTTGACATAAATGAGTCCACTTCCGCCTAACATAAAACTATATTTAGCTAATCTCCGCAAGCAGTAACGGCGTGAAGCTAAACCCATATTACGTATTAATACCTGGTGACCAGGGCTGCCTGGAATTCTGGAAATACACCAGAAAAAAAGGTGTTTTCCCCAAAACTGCTTAATAAAACAGTAATTTCTAGTTCACTTTGAAGCAGCTCTTTTAATACACTTTGATACACAAAAGATTCAGTAACTCCAAATACACTGGCCTGGTAAATGACTGAAACACAAACAAATATTTTGCTATCACTCTCTCACCCAATGTAGCTCAGCCTCCTACATCACACTTTGAAGGATTTCTCACAACTGCCCTTTAAAAGCAAGACTGCTTCCTATACCAATCAGACCTTTTGAAAAATCACTCAACCTCAAACTTCAGGGTGCTTCTAAAAGGAACAGGAGCCAAATGCTACTTTTATACAAGCATTAGCCTAACTGAAAGGCTCTAAAGACTTATTAATTTATTACAATTATTATATATTTTTTTAATGTTACCAGATTTAAAAAAAAACAGCTTTTAAAAGTGATAAGTGTCAAGAAGCAAGAAATTACATCAATTCCTAGAACATTTGAGAATGGGAGGTTGTTTCTTTTAATAAATTCAAACTAGCACTCAAAAAGAAATGGCTTTCTCCCTTACCCTCCCCAAAACATCCACAGGCAATTTGGAATTCAGAAGAACTGGTTTGACTTTCTCCCCTGAAAGCATGCCATTCACTGGGGAAAGGCTGTCAAAGATGGCATCATACTTCAGCTTCTCCTCCGGCTAGAAAACAGAATGCAGAGATGTTATGCGCTGGCATGCAGTGCAGAATAACACGCACTTCAGTCTGTAAATCACTGACACCTGGAACAATCCAGGAACCGGTTTAATCATAAAAAACAGAAAAGGCAAACTGAAGTACATTTGAGGTACTTATTTTTCCCCTTTTATTTATGGCTTGTCCAAGATTTAAACATTCATCTTATTTCATTCAATAAACCTTTGGACTGTTACTGTGATACTCAAAAGACATCCTATACATTTTTCTCCTCAGAGACCATCAAATGTTAGAATAATACCAAAAGGATGTTCTGTTAATTAGCTGCACTGTGAGGCACAAAGTTTTAATTCAACCTGGGAATCTATCTAAACGATCTGAACGTTGGCTCTGCAAAACACATTTTTTAATGACATGCTACATTACATAATACAACCTGTATAATTTCTTTTCACATTTGGACAAGTGTCAGGGTCAATTAAATGAGTCAGCTCCAGGTTAGTTAAATGAGCAGGACTATTAAGTCTAACTATGTAGCATTTTTATTACAGTACTTGGCGCTAACACCAAAGATTTAACACAGAATAAAAAAATTAAATAATACCTACACATACAGCAGCTTTCTGATACAGTAACACTCCCTAGGATGTATTGTGATATGCGAAAAGATACCCAGGAGTGGTACAAGATGTACAGTATAATTTCAAACAATTAAACAAGTCTGTTAGGTGGTCCTTAATGTTTTGTGAATACAGGCCCAACCCCTCCCACTGTCTATCACTTCCTTCCCCTATGCCAAAAAGACAGCTGGCCGTCTGTCATTGAGGCACAGAAATGCAGGTTTCATCACAGCATGGTTAACACTTCAGCTGGAAAAAAAAACAGCCTCTCACCAGTGGGAAACACCGCAACATTTTCCCAGTTCCCTTTTCAGCCTTTCATTAACCACAGTACGATTTTAGAAACAAGTCAATTAAGCACTTAAAAAGTAACCAAAAGACTTGTATTATTTGAAAGACATTCTTTGCCACCCAAAATGTCCCAGCACATAAACTGAGGCCGCTGAGTATGGGGACAACAGGGGAGAGTGTGTGGGTAGGGAGGGAGATCACATGCTCATTAAATCCAGGGCCCTGCGGGCGCCCCAAGTTTGAGTTCATGTGTTGGAGCGGGGTTCATGTCACTAGCCGACTGTGACTGGAAGTCCCCAAGCAGCGGTGCAGAACTGACGGAGCAGTGCCAGGGGGAGGGCTGTCCGTCTCCCGGGTGTCTCAGGGTGCTGGGAGGCATGCGGGGCTGCCTGGGAGAAAGGCACCTTTTCTCCAATCGGTTTCGAACCCCTGGTACAGGGCCGTGTTGTCTGCGATGGCCGAGTCAAGATGTGAAACACACAATCGGTTGTTCCAAATTAACTAACTTGTGCGTTTCCTTTCCTGAATATCTTCTTCCCTTTGTTCAGGGTTATCCAAAGTGCGTCTCCAGAAGGCTTGCCAAAACCTTATTGTTGTGTATCCCAAGTTAGGACAAGATGCATCAAGAAATTCAATTTTTACATTCAAGAATGTAAAGAAGTTTAAGAATGTAAATAATTAACATTCCTTCATTTCTAAGTTCCTTAAATCAAGCTAAATTTAATTTTATCCTTTTTCTGCAAGTATTTTCATGCTTTTGAGTAAAAGCATCTCTGACTCTAAGAGGGAATTTGTCAACTATGGAAAGTTATGCAGACCCAGGACTTCATGGCTAGTAACCCTCTTTAGAATATCAAACCCAAGAACTGCAAGGACCCCTGCTGCTGAAACACTAATTTAGCACACAAAAGACTCCTGCTGCTTAAGTGTCCAACACGTTGGTCAGCATTCTCACCTTGACTGCCCACGGACTGTCAATAGGCACCACTCCAGGAGGCAGCAGGGGACTGCTGGTGTCATGCTGCAAAGAACAATTGACAGAACTTAAAAGTAGCAAGGACTGTTTAAAACACCCTTAACAGAAGACCCAATTCAGTCCATGAGCTACTTCCTCCAGGTACTGCAGTCATAAAATACCAAGACCACAAAGCGCATTTGTGCTCCAAATTTATTCACAATACATCCACTTATGTTACTTTTATCAAGCACTGGTGCTAGACTCTATTAGCATTCTTATATACGTAGATATTATTTAGGGTATATTCTATTTGTAAATTAACCAAATAACAACTAGATTGTGGCTTCTTGAATTTGTTTAGTTTGAAAACATTTCAGGATTTTTAGAAAAATTGTTGTCGCAGTGCTGAAAAGGATTGTTACTTTTCCAAACCGCTTACTGATGAGATGACTTAAAGTTCACAGCTAAAGTCTATATGCACATGTAGATAATCAGAGATCTGTCCCTGCCTGATGCACTTCTAATGCTGCTCAGTAAAGAAGAGGCACGGTTTTGATTAACTATTGTGAGCAGAGAAAAGATTTTAAACATGGACCATGGGGATTTTAAGCAAGCATCTCATTTCCTCCTACTCAATCTTTTTATTGCTATTTGCTTCTAGCGAAAGTTGCACACAAAGTGTGAAAATCCGAATCTATCCAGGTTTGAGCAGCACGGTATTGGCCAAGCCTAGAATTAAGTGTAATAATCTCTCTTGAACAATCTCTTTCTTTGAAAATAAATCCGGGAACTAGTCAACTGTACTCTTTGGATTTTCCTGTAGTAGGATTCTTAACAAGGACACAATGGTTCTCTACCTCCTAAACCAGGCTTACAAAAAATTGGGTTGCCCTGAAGCCCTATACAGATACAACGTACAGATTCGTGCCTCTCAATGTAGAGTTCCAGGACGAAAGCACAGCTGGACATCACTTGTCATGAATCCACTCACAAGGTCAGAGTGACCCACCCATTAAGGAATACATCAAGTGGTTTTGCAAGTATACCTGATGATGCCACTCTTAATCAATAATCACCATGTGCCTTTATAGCCGCCATACCACATTCAGTGCTGCAGAGTTCCTGCAAGATCAGGCAACTTGACCAAAAACTCTTCATGTGACTGCAAACACTTGCTGTTCACGCCCAGCCTCTAAGGTACATAACGTTTAACCGAAAGAAGCCGCTGGGCCCGTGTAAAAGAAAATCCTGCCCAAAATGCATTTGGAACTAGAGGAATTCTGGGATACTCCCAACTATGATCTTTCACAATTCCCAAATTACTGGTACAGGTACATTTTTTAACATATCATACCAAATATTATATATTGCATATTCAGCATAGCAGGTATAAACTAATGGCAAGTGGACTTTCCAGTCATCTTCCCAACCAAGTATTTAACATTGTGCTGTGGGAAATATATCTAAGATGGCGAATAACGACCAGTTGCAGTCCAGCTTTGTTAAGACTTTCAAATCTCACAAGGAAACAATCACCTAACCAAGTATGTTAACTCCAAAGGGTGTATAATATTTAGTACTCACATTTTAACACTTAAGAATTATTATTCCAAGAGTTTGTATGATAATGTTAATTCATTACAGTAATCTAATATTTACTCGTCCTCTTCCAGTTTATGATTGCTGAAATTATTTGCTCTTCTAATTCCTGAGTTTTAGACTGGCGCTTGGTGCATCACAAAAATATATCTATCACATTTAATCATGTATTTGTTTAAAGGCCACATTTTAATGTATTGTTGTATTGTTTATTTTACATTCACATAACTTATTCTGCAAGACAAAAAAGTGCTCAACTCACAAACTTGGGTGAAGGTACAGCCACACTGAGGCTTTTGAGTGCCACTTCCAGGCCATTCTGAGCACAGGCCACCAGCCGCAGGGCGACGAAGAATTGCTGTGCAGAGGAAGATCCAATTAGTTCAAGATCCTGGGTATCTAAATGGTTGGTGTGGTTAAGTCATACTCAGCACTGAGCATCGCAACTCACAAATATGCAGTGTTACTTTGGTGCAGGGCAATATTCCACCTGTGTCAATAAGGCAAATGCTGTCAACAAACAGGTATATGTGCTTTAAGCCCTTTAAGGGCTGGAGGGCTGTTAAGCACATTAATCAAAAGAGGTGTGTACTCTCACACAGGTTGAATCCTCAACCATAGGCAATTGCTGGTCCAGGTCTTGGTCAGTTCAATAGTGGACTCTAGCAGAGATTCCAGAAGTGACAGCACTCAACTGGCTGAGTGTCGCCGAGATTCAGGCAGGTCAAATACAAGTTCCTTCAGATTGCCAAGCACTAGCAACCCCTGGGACATGCCTGACAGCTGCGATCTTATGCGATTTCTGGGGAAAAAGTCAGATTAAACCATGTGGGGACCTTGGAGAAATAGAGGAATTTACTTTATATTACTAGACATCTGTCTTTAGATAATCAGATAGTTATCACCTTTCAATACACATAATCAGATCTGCTGACTCAGTAATTGTTAGTTTGTTGTATGCAGATGAGCGGGACCATGGGCCAGCTGTAGATGAGTTTGCCGCCTCGTATGAAGAGAATTATCTTAAGTTGAATGTCTCCAAGACGAAAGGCATGGCAACTAATTTAAGGAAGAACACTCAGACCCCCACTCAAACCCACATCGGGGTGATTCATACAAATGTCATACAAATATAACTTGCTGTTCAGGATGGCGAGTTAATTTTGAGGCATACATTGATTTGATTTTCAAAAAAAATGGCAAAGGTGTCAATTTTCCTGAAGGAAGCTTAAAAATTTTAAGGTTGTTAATTTGTTATTGATCGTGTTTTATCAAGTCTTTTATTGAATCTACCTAAATGTTTACCCCGATTTGTAAATCTGAATCTTAGGAGTCAGAACAAATTGGGGAGTATGGTCAGACTGTCCCGAAAGTAATTGGTGCTGACCTTTCGGCCCTATGCCAACGTCTATCAGTTACGCATTTTGTATAAAACATATTCCTAGAGGACCCTTCACAACCTTTTGTTTAGTAAATTCCAATTACTCCCCTCAGAATGCAATTTAAGAGCGAACATGTTGGGGTTTTCATTTATACCTATGGCTAAAAGCTTGCTAAACAACTTATTCTTTTGATGTATGTACATATGTATTGGTAGTTTTTGGGTTTTCTTTATATTGTCTGCTGTTGTAAAACAAATTGCCCCTTGGATAATTCTCTCTTATCTCTTTAACATCTAAGGAACTCATTCATTCAATTATTGTTTGGGGGAAACAAACAGGAGTCCATTTTAGTGGCTGAAACCCATCTGACAGCAGAGTGTAACAGATTGATCAGCTTATCTTCTAAAAGTGAAAAAAATACCTGGAAAACACAAGTGAGAAGTGAATACACACCTGCTTGTTTAGAAAGCCTTTTCGTTCTGCATCTGCTAAATCCCATATCTAGAAGGGGAAAAAAGAACATTTTACAGTAAGCTCTACTTTAAGAATCAAAACCGAAATCACAAACCAAAAATAATAAACGGCAGAACTACTGAGCGGTTTTTCCATAATGGCACAAATCTCACTGAGGCATTCAGCTGTAACATACTTCTTGGTGGTAATCAGCATGGGTATCAAACATTCCTGCAAGGATAACCATGAGGAAAAGTTTCCATAAAGGTTGCAATACCTGTAGTTTTAACTTAATTTCATGTAAGGACAGTCTGCTCAAATCCCATCCTCCAGAACATTATAACCAGTGCACACAGAAAAGCCAGTGGTCCTCTATTGCAGGAAAAGCCTAGAATTAACCAAGTCTTCACAGACAACCAAGCAACCACTGTCTTATCTTCACACAAACTGAGACTCCACAAACTCTCCCATGAAAAGGCTCAATACTAACTTAATATACAACACAAATGTTGCAAGAATAACAAAGGCAGGCACCCATATGACTTTTCTCAGAGTGAAAGGTGGCAAATGCCTTTTCTGGAGAGCCACAGGTTGAACTGACGTCGAAGCTCTTTCTGTATTGTCAAATGTTAAACACCTGGAACGAATGGCCATTTAACCAGCTAGGCGTATGGATCCAGTCTAGAAATTTAAGGGAGCAGGTCCTACCTTCCCCAACACCAGGTCAGCCAGGCCGGACCTCTTCAGAAACAGTGCAGCATCTGTGGCTGCCACACGCCCACTGCCAGCTGGGTCTACCTGAGGAAAAAAAAGAGGGGTGCCATGAGGAGAAGGCGGCTGTTTTGGAGGGTCTCTCTTGTGTGTGGTGTATCTGAGCGCGTGTTGTTGTGATAGAAAGTGTAGAACGTTTATTAAAGTTCATTAAAAGGCACAGTCCTCTTGCTTGCGGCTATGGCAAGGAGTAGTGGTTAGGGAGTCCAGAATGGGGCTTCAAATTCTACACTAAAAGCACATCTCTGGGCAAGGCTTCTTTGTAAACAGGCATTTTTCAGGTCATCACAGTAAATGTATTTGTTTCTCAACTTACTTTCCTGTTAAATAATAAAAACTGCAGATATTACTGCAGATATAAAAAGAAGCTATGAATTATGGAGCACTACTATCTTCCCTTCCTTCCTCCCTGAAGGGTTAATTCAGGGGTTACCAACTCAGGAGTCAGCAGATGATCTACAGCTCCATTTCTAGGTCTCAAGTTGTCAATGGCTGAGGAGAAGGTCTAGGGTCTAGTCAAACTATAATTAGATTAATTTAAAACTTATCACAGGAGAAGAGCAGTTTATACTGTAAGGAGACAGATCTGCTCAACCCTAGGTCACAACGTTGTAGCAGTGTTCATCAGAGGAAGCACATACTGTAACTTGAGAAGCGCAAAAGCACTCTGGAAGAATTTCATTCTCCATGGGTGACCCTGGTGGGGAAAACCGAAGGCTCTGCCCTCTGCTCTTCCAGCACCACCTGCTCAACAGCTGCTCTCTCAGCAGCTTGGCAACATCAGCCCACCAGCCCAGACTGGTCCACATGAAAGTGGGGGTGGCCAGACCAGATGACACGGACTCATTTGTCGCTCCTTCTCGTCCGTACATGCACATGCTTCTTGATGTATGACATCCGAGGGACAGCATGGAAACGTGGAGAATCTTTTACATGCTCAATGCAAAAGATCTTCCAAAGCTTTCAGCTACAGAGAAAGACTGACGGTAATTTAGTTAACTCTCAGAGTTATGATAAAGAAAAAAAAAGCGTCCAATTTGCTTTTTCTGCATCTATAAGGTCACTTGCTACATTTGCAATGAATAAATCAATTCAGTAAAATGGGAGCAAAAAGCTTGGGCACCACAGTGGCATAGTGGCCAAGCGCTAGTATTATTCTGTGCTGAAAAGAGAAGAAAATTAACACACCTGAAGAAGGCTCCACAGCCGAAACACCGTGTTTTTTAATTCCTGTTTTTAGCACGGCATAAACCTTTACTTGTTCCTTTGCAGCCTATCCGTGCTGATGCATTGCTGGCTTGCAGAACTGGGGCCCTGGGCTCAATTCCTGGCATGCTCCTTGGGTTTGGTTTTCTTCCATAGTCCAAAGACATCCTGGTAGTTTAACTGACTTTTGAGAAA